AAAGATGAAATTGCACCGTCAGTATCATCATTCTAAAAATTCAGGGTTCACATAAAGAACGTTTTCAAGAGTCAGGGTCGCAGGCTTTCCAAGGCCTAGGCTTGAATTCCAACCCCGCCATACAGACATACCGGTTCATGGCCAGAGCCTCCACCAGTGATAATGGAGACCTTTGGGTTCTCTGTCAACTCCTTTGTTGGTCGACGATATACGATTCGGTTTTGCGAGTCGAAGGCGACCGACGGGTTTGTGAGAGTTAAACTGTGCAGAGAAGTCTGGACAAGGTGAGTCGGATCGTCAATAAAATGCTTTGCGGACATCTTGGATGGCTCCCTGTGTAGTGTCTAAATAGGATACGGGATCTCAGAGGGTCAGAGAGCAGCATAGTAGGAGGGAAGTGGAACATATAAGACCTGGGGGAGTCAGTGGTATCTACCGCCCTCGCCGCCTGCCCGTCCCTCACTTCGTCAAGAATCAATGCGGGGAAATGACCGTTCTCAAAGCTTTTGTTTAGGTGGGGCTTAGCTGGCGAACTCGTGGAGAGATTGGGATTGACCGGGCCATTATGGCCGGTGGGCTTTCCATTCAGCCATTTGCCGCTTGTGTTTGAGGGGCCTTGAGAGATGAGACGGAGGCACTCCTGGTTGCCTCCCACACATGCACTTCGGTGCGAGTAGACCCGACGGGAGAACAGAAAGCCTTGAATAGCCGGACATCACTCTGGAGACAAGCTCAATTTTCTCATTCTTTTTAACTTCCCGCGTCTGGCGGGCTTTCCAGGAGCTGTCTAACATTGTCGCTGAGCTTCACGTCGTTAGGTGAACTCTCGGCGAGGGTAAAGTCTCCATCTTCGGGTTTCTTCTTTTGGGCAACCCGGCAAAGGGGGGGCGGGATGGTTGTGAATTGTTGTCCCGTGCTGTTTTATCCGCCTCGACGCTTGCGTTGCAACCAGCCCGAGTTGTGTCCAGTCCAGTGGAGTGAGACAGCTGGAAAGATCTTAGAAGAGAGTGAGCCTGTAGAGCGTCCTCAAGGCAAATATCGGTCGGATCAACCGGTGATACCGAATGCCAGGAGGTGGTGGATGCATCGGGAACATGCCGATGTGCCTGCAGCTATCGGGGTAGTGAAGGGTGGAATCCAGCGGGATCTCACCTATTGGGGCCCTCTCTCAATTGAATGGGACATGGCCCAGGCAAAAATGAAATCAACCTGTGCAACGGATGACGAACAACTTTGTTGCTCGGGTGAAAATGGGGAGCTCTTCAGGCGTGGGGGTCGTAGCTTGGCATTCCCTGTCATTGCCCTGGCAAGCCTGGCCTGGCCTTCACACTCATATGGAGTTTCGTGGGGGTGGATGGCTGACCCAGAGCTTGGCATGACCTAAGTTCTGTTCAGTGGTCACACAAATGTCACCTGCATTTTCCCCCAGCCCCAGATTCGATCTAACAACGACCAAACTCACGTTCGCAGAATTTTGTGCGTGATCCCACCCAGGTAACCTGACCAGTTCTCTCACCATTTCGGGAATGGCAGTCAGGTATCCTGGTCTCAATGCATCATGAAGCTAGACACCAAATCTCTTCGATACCTCAACCCTACCGACTGGCGCACTCTCACCGCGGTTGAGACGGGAAGCCGAAATCACGAAGTCGTCCCCACCTCACTTATCGCCAACCTATCTAAATCCAGTCTGGGCGACGTGCAACGAAGTATTTCCTTGCTGGCCAAGGCGAATCTGATTGCCAAAGTCAAGAACGCGAAATATGATGGCTACAGATTGACCTACGGCGGCCTCGACTATCTGGCGCTGCACTCCTTACAAAAGAACAACACTGTCTATGGTGTGGGCAACCAGATTGGAGTGGGCAAAGAGAGTGACATATTCGTTGTCAGCGATGAGAAGGGTGAACAACGGGTGCTGAAAATCCATCGTCTGGGTAGAGTGAGCTTCAAGAAAGGAGTGCGGAACAAACGGGACTATGCCAGAACGAAGGCTCAGAAAGAGAGGGGTGCTGGGAGCTGGATGTATATGTCACGCTTAGCTGCCGTCAAAGAGTTTGCTTTCCTGCAAGCCCTGCATGATGCGGGCCTGAGTGTCCCTATCCCACTAGGCCAGAATCGACACCAGTTGGTCATGTCATTGATTGACGGTTTCCCACTACGACAAATCGAAAAGGTTCCAGACCCAGCGGGACTATACGCGGAGCTGATAGAGATGCTGGTGGGCTTGTGCTCTTTGGGACTGATACACGGAGATTTCAACGAGTTCAACATCCTAATCAGAGAAGAAGAGCAAGGGGAAGATATTAAGTTGGTCCCGGTCTTGATCGACTTTCCTCAGATGGTCAGTGTGGATCATCCAAATGCCGAGTTCTATTTCGACAGGGACGTGGAATGCGTGAAGCGTTTCTTTGCAAGGCGGTTTGGATTTATCAGCACTGACGACGGCCCACTCTTCAAAGATGCAAAACGGTTGGTTGGCACAGACGGGCTCAGGCGACTTGATGTTGAAGTTGAAGCCTCCGGGTTCTCCAGGAAAATGGCCAAAGAACTCGAAGCATACATGAAAGAGCACGGCGTGGACGGTGACGCCAAACGAGATGAAACAAACTATATTGATCTCAGCGGTTCCGAGGATGAAGAGCACGATGATGACGAAGACGATGACAGCGATAACCCCGCATGTAATGGTGTGGCCGACACAGGTTGATTTCAAACAAATGGCGCTATTGAAGATCATGCGTCCAAGCGATGAGCATACCCAGTACATGATGCCCCGCGTTGAGTCTGCTAGAGCACCAAGCACGAAGTGCTCAAAGGCCAGGGAGGCGAAATGATCTGCTGGGCGTGTCTCCATCCCCGTCCCGTCCCGCTCGGCCAGACCCTTTTCAGGAAAGACGGGATTCCTTCTGTGTCCAGGGACTGTTGGAGCGTACTCTGCTTGATCCTCCAAACTGCTGCGAAAGTGAAACATCACTCGCAAGCGAAGCCGCCCAGTTCCTGAACCCCGCATCTTATCACAGGTCAGTCAACAACAATAATAACAACAACACACCATGCAACAGAGCCGTCTCTAAGGTTGGTGACAGAAAAGCATCCCCGCTGCATCATGGGCGACCTGCTCCCATGATAGTTATCGCTGCTTCGAGTCATGAACCGTGATGGTCGAGCCTGCTTTAAACTCTATTATGCCCGAACTTGAAGTCTTCAAGTCCGGATGCTCCACGTGCAAGGCCACTTGTTTCACATGAATTTACTACGAAGAGTTGACGTCTACTAGTGTTCTCCGTACGAGGAGTTGATTTGAACACTGGCTCCGCAAAACTCAAAATACGAGTACCGTATGGTCTCCAGCGTCAATGTGCCCACATTGTTTACATGGACAACTGCACGCAGCATGGATCACAAACGAGATGAAGCCAAAACCTCAACAACTCATTGCTTGGCCACGCATGCCCATCGGTGTACGAGGTACAGGGTAGTTCGAGGCATATTGCTAAAGGATCCAACCATTGATGGAAGTGCAGGATTGAGAATTGTCTAGACCTTGATCCTGTCGGCAAGACCGTCGAATGCACCAGCTGTGCCTAGGTCGAAGCTTGTTCAGATAAGTACTTACCTCTACTCGATGCTCCAAGTCTTGTTCCTTTTCGCCGCCAGTGAGGAACCATGTAGCGGGAGTCCATGACAATTTGAACAATGCGGAGTACTCCGTGCATACACCATACATACAAGTACGGAGTACATAATGATCTGGTCACCAATGGCTTGATACGGGTTTGGCCTCCTAAGACCTCAGTTATCAAGTGACAGGCACGAACGTTCGTGAAAGAGGGCGAGAGATGTGCTTTAAGCGAGGATGGCAACCAGAGGTCCCCTGCAGTAGTGACAGCACCGGCTGAATCGCCCCCTGAGTTAGGAATAGAAAGAGGCATTTGTGAAACGCGGACCCTGGTCCTAGTGGCTGGCTCGGGAAGACGGCCAAATGTGCATCTCGCCGTGAATGGTATAGAACAGCACCTTAGCCCCAGTCGTGGTGTTAACGCAGGCCAAGGAAATGTAAACCAGCATGAACAAGCAGCGATCCAGAAACCAGCGAACAAGCCCCCAAGCAGAACACCCTGGGCGCAAGGAGGATTAGTCCCGGGCGCTGCTCCAGGGTGAGAAGAGCCTATAACCAGCTGGGAATCAAGTGCTGGCTGCCCCCTCAGCAGTCCCCAGCCACCTGCCCAATGGGCATACTGAGATACTCCACACCCTCACAAGCCCATTGCTAAATAAACCGCGACGTCCTCTAGCTTGGTCCACTAGCTGACTTCCGCGCTCGACGGAGATTAATTCTGCCAATTACTGCCACTTTTTGGGGAGGCTTAAGGAGGCTAGGTACCTGAAGCCTTGCCTGGGTAGGACTTGGTAGGGGCAGGCTTAACCGATTAAGGGATCCCACAACGCGCGAGAGGGCCGCGCATGAACCCTCCTCGCCTCGACTTTTTGACTACTCCTGACTGTTCACTTCACACGCGGGTGCGACTTTTTGCCCTCTGTGTTTATGCTTCACTCTTCCTAGCTGTGATATCGCATCTGCCGTCCCTCTTGACGCTCCCCGGCCGCTTTCGTTCAATCGCGTGGACCATCAACAGCAGGAAAGCGTGGCCATCAGGATCAGTCCGCCCGGTCCTCTCCGACTGTCACTCCTGGTCACCTTCAACGGTTAAAGAGCCAGACCGTCGACTTACCAAATACTGAGTCCACCCCATACTTGTAACGGCTTGTCGAGTCCTGAGGTGAAAGATTGTTCACCTTTCACCCACACCCTCCTCCGACTCGTCGATAATTTCCTTCTGGAATCCGGACAAAAGAAGCTTAATGGTGACTGCAACGTGTCCCCGTCGACCAGAAATCTCGAGGTGTTGGGTTCTTTGACACACGTCGGTTGATGCTATTTGACGGGACAGAAGCGATCGCGCGACTGGCATAAAATCCGAAGAGAGCACACAGCGATGGTCTCGTCTCCTCCAGCATCCCCTGACGGCGCACGGCAGATGCGGCCACAGAGCATGTACACAGCTTCCTCTCCAGATGCTTTCCAGAAAAATCGGCCGCAGAGCACGGTTCCTCGCCCTCCCAGAAGCAATAGCCGTATGAGCCAGAGCAGCAACCACATTGGAAGTAGAGCGTCGGACGAAGATGCCAAAACTTCGGTCAAAGTTGGTAAGTCCACCGCCGCAGATATTGAGTGGGTGACGGGAAGACTAATGACCTTGCAAAGTGGTCCGAGTCCGCCCTCCTTTGGGCCCTTCAGATCCCGGATTTGACTTGATTCCACAAAGATTTCAACGCTCAATGGTACAAGTAAATACAAATACCAGCCTTGCCGTTGAGTCACCCCAAGGACGGAAGATCTTCATTTTCGACCGTGTCTTTGGTGAAGATACCACCCAAAAAGACGTATGGGAATACTTGCAAGACAGCGTCGATTCATTCTTGCAAGGTTACAATGTGTCTTTACTTGCCTACGGCCAGTCTGGCGCCGGCAAAAGTTATACCATGGGTACATCAGGCCCCGCAGAACAATTCGATACCTCTATGAAAGGTGAGAAAAGCCCAGCCCAGACCTATTGACTCGTTTGACCTGTTGTGATAGGTGTTATTCCTCGAGCAGCCCAACACCTGTTCGAAAGTCTCAATAGTGGTCCTGCACATAGCAGACACAACTCCGGCCTCAAATCTCCAACCAGATATTCAGTCACAAGCTTAAATCAGGTCATGCAGGCATCGAAATCCTTCATTGATAGAGGATGGGATATGTCGGTGACTTACGTCGAGATTTACAATGAACATCCGAGAGATTTGCTGCTTCCAGAAGATGCACCGTTTACTGAAAGAGCCAATGTGCAGATTCGAGAAGATCCTCGTGGTCGAATATTTGTAGAAGGTCTCAACTCAGTACGCGTGTCTTCTATCGAAGAGCTCATGCGTGTTTTGAATCATGGATCCGCTATTCGACAGACCGATGCAACGGCCATCAACGCCCGGTCTTCACGTTCTCACGCCGTTTTCACAATCAATCTGCGACAAACAAAAGCGCAAGGTTTCCCTACGGCAAAGGATAAACGAACATCAGCCCCAATTGATCAATTGTCTGGAGGAGATGCACCGATGACTGTGGAGAGCAAGCTTCATTTTGTCGATTTGGCAGGTAGTGAACGACTTAAGAATACTGGTGCTACTGGCGACCGTGCGAGGGAAGGGATCTCTATCAACGCAGGATTGGCCAGTCTGGGCAAAGTGATTTCTCAGCTGTCATCGAGAACTCCAGGAACGTACGTGTCGTACAGAGATTCCAAATTAACGCGGATGCTTCAAGACTCGCTGGGCGGAAACGCAATTACGTATATGATTGCTTGCGTCACGCCCGCAGAATTCCACCTCAGTGAGACACTCAACACTGTGCAATATGCGCAGCGGGCTCGAAACATCCAAAGCAAACCCAAGATCCAGCAGGTCGATGATGGAGCAGACAAGCAAGCAGTGATCGAACGATTACGCACCGAAATTGCCTTTCTGAGGCAACAGATCCGAAGCGCCGAGTCCACCGATCGTCGACCAGGTATGATGTCTGAGCGAGGAGATAGACCCAGTGATCGAGAAAATGAACTGCAGAATCAGCTGTTGGACATTCAAGAGAGCTATAATGCACTCAGCCAGAGACACGCCAAATTGGTGTCGGAGCTGACCAAAACCACTGATCCTATTGACCAAGTCAACATTGTCGGGGAAAGTGCAGTGGATCGCTTGAAACGTTCTCAGGCCAATCAAGCAATGATTGAACAAGTGGTAATGGAATACGAAAAGACGATTCAAAGTCTCGAGAACAATCTCTCAAACACACGATCGTCTCTCGCCACCACCGAAAGCAACCTCCTCGAGAGAGAAACGAAATGCGCATTCATTGAAACGATGAATCAGCAACTAAATGCCAGAGTTCAGAAACTGATGGATCGAGAGTCAAACACCGAACAATATCTCCATGATCTGGAGGCGAGGCTTGACGATCAAAGTTCTGGAGGCGAAAAGAACGATGTCATCATCTCTGATCTACGCAAGGAGATTTCGCGGATTAGAGAAAGTGAAACAAACGCCGAAGATTATATCTGTACTCTAGAAGAGCGGCTCGCCGAGGCGGATCAAGACATGGAGATTATGCAACGCGAGATTGAAAGACTCCAACACCTTGTTGAGCGCCAACGAAGTCTCGGCAAGCTGGACAATTTGTTGTACGAGCTCGACCACATCCAAGACAAGGACGGAAAGGCCAAAGCCGTAAATTCACCTCCTACAAACGGAGCAGCTGAGGGGCCTGAGGAAGCCCTCCAAACTGCGGAGGAGACCGAGTTACCAGCACAAGAGGAAGGCGAACTCGACGAGCAGGCCGGAGATTTGGCAGAACAGGCACCGGCAGAAAGTGACCAGGCGGGTCTTGAAAAGCTCGAGACCGCCATCGCTCAACAGGAAGGTCTCAAAGCTGAGCCTGATCAAGAACCTCTTCCAAGTCCTGCGCAGTCGAAGTTCATCACCGAGAAGTTCGAGGCAGTGAGTCAAGAGTTATTTGACCTCCGATTGGAACACGAGTCAACAGTAAATGAACTGGATCTGCTTTCGGCCAAATACCAAGAAGCACTTCGAACTCTGGCGGAAATGCATGAGTCAATCGATCAGGAACGCCAAGGTACAATATCCTCGCAGGAAGACGCAGTTAATGAAAGTGCTCATGATCAATCTTTTTCGGAAGAGGCGGAGGAGCCGCAAGACGACGAGGATGGTCAGCATTTGCCTTCCTCGCGGTCGCTCTCCTCGGAATTGTCCATGGCTGGGGAGTCAACGACTTCAACAGATACCGACATTACGCCGGTATCTAAGAACCTCCACTCTGTGGAGGTCCAGTCGCAGGAGATTGAAAGACTGCAAAAACTTCTCGCGGAACACGAACGGAGCATGAAAGACGTTACTGAGCAATATACCCAGCTCCAGACCGATCACAAAGAGGCCTTGACTACCGTGGAGCGTCTGAAGTCGCAAATCAAACAAACCAGACCTGCATCACCTGGTACTCCGGGTATGCTGCGACGCATGACTTCACAAAGCGGAACTGGAGTTGATCGAGGTCAGCGATCTGTTACCTCTCTACGGACGCTCCTAGCCGAAGAGTTTGAATCAAAACCTGATCGTATGGAAACCGCCGAGGTGCACCTCTCAGCTGCAAACAACGAACTTCAGGCACGGTTGGACCGAATCCAAGCTCTAGAGGCCGAAGTCAAGACTGCAAAGAAAGAAATGGAAGTCAAGTCCACGATAATATCCGGTCTGACGAGAGAAAGGACCAGCATTAAGGCGGGATCTCCCGTCGACCTTAACATGGTGTCTCAGTTAAGAGACCAGATCATTCAAAAAGAGACCGAGTTGAAATCGCTGCATGAGGGCTATGCTCGTCGTGAACAAGATCTGCAAGAGGAGATCCAGAGACTGCACGATGAAAAGGCTAACCTACAGGCAGCCTCGCCGACATCCGAAAACGAGGACAAGATTAACTCTTTGAATCAGCAAATAGATGAATTGAAGTCGAAGCTCGAGGCAGCCCAACAAGCGGTCGAGGAGTCTGAAAAGAATTACATACGCACAAAATCTGAATTGGAAGTTGCTTTGGCAAGCATCGCCACTTTGAAAGCTCAGCAAGCTGCTGGAGAAGGAGACGAAGCTTCTGGCCGAGCTGCTGCTGCCAACGCAATGCAAACCGAGCGTGATAACTACGAAGGACTGATCAACAGTCTCAAACAGCAGCTGGAAGAACAACGAACGCTCAACGCTGACTTTTCAGCCAAGAACTTCGAGCTGCGTCAACTTCATGCCGCTCTCACCAAGGATTACGATGCCCATGCTGAGATTGTGAAATCTCAACAGCAAGAAATAGCTACCCTGAAGGCGGAAATTGAACAGCTCGAACAAAAGGTTAAGCTTGCAGAGGCGCAAGTGGAGACCACCAAACAAAGTCTGAAAGCTCTTCGCGAAGCTCACAGAAATGACGTTGAGGAGATGAAGTTGGCTCATGCTGGTGCCTTGGCCGGCTACGATGACCAAATGTCTGAGATAACCGCTAAGCATGCGAAACTTGAGGCGACCTACAAGGCGGATCTTGAGCACGCCTTATCGACTGTGCAGAAAATCGTATCCAACGCTCAGGCTGCACTTGGTCATCCAACAACCGCAGATATGCTCGCAAGTCATATTCAGGATCTGGTGGAGGAGAAACGTCATATCGTTGAGGCTAATGTACGACTGACTGGCACCAATGCGGAACTTGAGCGGCAGCTTGACGGCAGACAAGGCTTGCTTGAATTGGAAGCCGAACTTGCAAATGCTAATGCCAAGATCGGTAACTATCAGGACACCATCCGAAGCCTTGCAAATGAGGTCGGCAATCACGAAGAAACGATCCGTGAAAAGGAAAACCTGCTCAAGAAAGCAGAAGCAAATCTCCAAGCGGTTGAATCAGAAAAGGCGAAGAAGCTGGTGATTATCGAAGAATTAGAGCAGCAATTGCAGAATAGCTTTGATCAACACCACAACCGACTGTCCGTCATCCAAGCACAAGGCAACCAAGCTTTGATTGAAGCTCAGCAACGCATTGCTATTCTGGAAAAGGATTTGAATCAGCGCACGTCCGTCAATGAAGCAGCGTCTGATAACGGCTCTCGCACCAATACGATGAAGTCACAACAGCGTCCGCAGTCGCCACAAGCCGAAGGAGTCCCGCGTTCCAACTCAATGACATCGAATCTGAGAAAATCTGCGTCGATCACATCCTTACCTTCACCGCCTCCGGCCATCCCTCTTCCTCCGATACCTGCTATACCGGGAGCCCTTCAGGTAACATCCCCAACGCCGGCCCCCAGCAACCCTTCGCCACCTCAATCTCGCCATGCCTCCAAGGAAGTCGCTCTCCCCGTGACCCCCGTGTCCGGCACCGTAGTTTCCACGAATTCCCGCGATAACCGCCGGCAGTCGGCGCTGATTGAGGAACAAGAAAACCGGTTGCGGACCATCGAGAAACACCTCCACGCAGAGAAACAGCTCACCGCCACTTTAGAGGAAGCCCTTGTCGATCTTGAAACGCAATCCAACAAATTAAGGGTTGATGCGGAGTCGTGGAAGAAGAAGGCGTGGGCTATGGAAGAGGAGCTGGCAGGACTTAAAAAGGAGAGAAGATCGGAAAGACTTAGTGTGCAGGCAGTGGAGGAAGAGGTTAAGAAGAGGAGAGAAGCCGAGGCCGCGAGGGCGCAACTCGAGGAGAGAATGAGGTTGTTGACAGTGGGGAAAGATGGGAAGACGAAGAAACGCAAGGGAAGTTCGTTGAATTGTTTCTAAGCCACGGCGGGCATTAGATGGAGCATCATATTGAGGGGTTTCATTTTGGCGAGCTGAGCCTAACGAAGCTGGCGGGTGGAAGTTTTTCATGCGTTACGTGAGGTATTCTGTCCCTTGTGTCTCTTTTTTGGCCAATATGCTCGAGCGATCTGAATCAAGCGAGTTCTCTTGAGTGAAACGGGGGTTTGGGACTGTAAAAAAGGGGATCTGGCAGCAGATGAAAGGATGAGGAGTTTTTGATTTGTGAGTATTATTCCGTCCTCACTCCTCGGTCCACGCCATTCATTCAAAATGTGTTTTTCCTTTTTTTCTTCACACCCTGACATGCTACGTATACATAATGAGCTCTTGAGGATTTTGTTTATCTTGCGAATCAATCGTCCTTGTCACAGATGTCTGGGTGGCGGCGGGCCTCAGATTACATACGCCGTCCACATATAGAATAAGTAGAAGCAAGCACATAAGAGAATGAGAATGAGAATGAGAACGAGCTGTTATACCCAGTTAAATACCTTAGTTAGAACTGCGAAAGGGGAAAAAAGTTCTTGTGCACACAGTAGTAGTACGGAGTAGTAAACGCATGGATATGGAGCACATCTATCGAACAGAAAACAAAGAAAGAGAGGGAGGAAGGGAGGAAGGAAAGGCGTACGCAACACCTCAAGCCAGAGCAAAAATCGATATTGAAATTGCAAAAGAATTGTGAGAGAAAACACGAAGATGGAGATGGGCCATCTTTGTGCCTGTCTCTATGTGTGCGCCTGTCTCTGCGACGAGCGTGAAAATAGTTCAATTGAGTCGCGTCGCGTCGCGTCGAGTCGTGGAATTCGAAGGAGACAAGAGACAAGAGACAAGAGACAAGAGAAGAGAGGACATGAGGACATGGGATTAATACGGAGTACAGGTTACACATGGGATAATGCGAGGTATACATGCAAAAGGGGGACAAGAACACATAAGGAGGGAAGAAGAAAACAAGGGGGAGATGGAGGCTGCGCCTTCTTTACTCTTCGTGATATTTTTCATTTTGTGGGCAGTTGAGTTGATGCCTGCCGTTCTGTGTTCCCTCTTGACATCGAGAGCTATCAAGCATTAAGCCCCCGTCTCCCACTGGCTAACCGAATAACCGATTGACTGACTTGGACTGACTCTGAGAGCATGGCGGTAGGCAAGTCCAGCTTATTCTAGACCAATTTAGTCCGTCCGTTCATCCATCAACGCAAGCTGCGTCATCTGCTTCAAGCCCAAAAGTTCCTGGGCCCAGGTCCGACAAAACATTCCTTGTTGGAGAGGCACAATGCAGTCATTCCAAGATCTCGACCTCAAGCCTCAATCCATCCGGGCGGATTCTTTTCCTCCTCTGGGCGGCACGATGACCGACTTCCCATCTTCGTCTTCATCTCCAGCCGTGCCCATCTAGCGAGTTGAACGCCAATTCCATCACCAAGATGTCCTTGGACAGGAAACAAAACAAAAACATAAAACATACTCTGTCTCGCGCGCAGCAGGGGGTATCATCGAAACATGTTGAATATCGTCAAGACGTAACCCGCGCCGTGTCATGAATCTTTTTTTCGGTAAAGCAAAGGGGAAAATAAAAAGCATGCAAGTCTTTCGCTTTCTGTGAGCGCCCTATGGCTGGCAGGTCCCGGGCAATGGATCTCGCCCCATAATCTGCCATCCTTTTTCACATGCAGTCAAGAACCAAGACAGTGGAAGAAAATCCCGACCCTGAGTCTGTTGAAAACCAGGAGATCGGAATAAATCTTCGCCGCCCCTCTATCTCTCTCAAATGTGAGACACATGCTTGCCCATGGATATTTACTCCAACTGACAGACAAAACCAACAGGATGAAATGGAACGCCGGTGTTTTGTGATTCTTGCCATGATCTTCGGTGTGGGCACGGGAAACAAACAAGGAAATCTAGAATTTTAGAGGCTTGGGCTGTTCCCAGGTGAAGCTCTGGTCGGTGAAATGACCGTTCTTGGCAGTTCGGAAGTAGATGGGGTTGGTGAGGTTGAGTTCCTTAACGATGACACCAGGTCTGAGGTCGAAGTTCTTGTAGATAATGTCGACGAGCTCGGTGCTGGATTTGTCGCTGGTGCCGTAAGTCTCGACAAAGAGAGAGAGGGGCTCAGCAACACCGATGGCGTAGGAGAGTTGGACCAAGCAACGACGAGCGAGACCTGCGTGAACGAGAGATTTGGCAATCCACCGGGCCAGGTAAGCAGCAGAGCGATCGACTTTGCTATAGTCCTTGCCGGAAAAGGCGCCACCACCGTGGGCTCCCCAGCCACCATAGGTATCGACAATGATCTTGCGGCCGGTGAGACCCGCGTCACCTTGAGGACCACCGATAATAAAGAGGCCAGATGGCTGGATGTGGTAAATAGTCTTGTCGTCCAGGTATTTAGCGGGAATGACGTTCTTGATGATCTTTTCCAGAAGCTCCTTTCGCACCTGTTCGGTGGTGATGTCTTCGGAGTGCTGAGCGGAGATGACGACAGTGTCAACTCTCAAAGGTTTGACAGCACCGCCATCATGAGCATATTCCACCGTGACTTGGGTCTTGGTATCCGGTCGCAGCCAGGGGATTTCGCCTGATTTGCGGGCCTTTGTCATGGCAGCGTTGAGTTTGTGGGCCAGTTGGATGGTCAACGGGAGGAGTTCGGGAGTCTCATCGGTGGCGTATCCAAACATGATACCCTGATCGCCAGCACCCAGCTTTTCCAATGCTTCATCATAGTGCAGCCCTTGGGCAATATCGGGGGACTGCTCTTCGATAGCGACGAGAACGTTGCAGGTTTTGTAATCGAAACCCTTCTCTGAGCTGTCGTATCCAATATCCTTGATGGCATTACGGACAATCTTTTGGTAGTCAAGGTGGGCTTTGGTCGTGATCTCACCAAAGACCATGATCATACCTGGAAAACGTTAGGGGAGAGGGGGGCGCGGTTTTGGATCGGACAGATGGCGTACCAGTCTTTGTGGCAGTCTCGCAAGCCACTTTCGACAAGGGGTCAACGGCGAGGCAGGCATCGAGGATTGCATCTGAGACTTGATCGCTACAGGCAATCATTAGCCGGGACACGTTACGGTCAGAGGAGGAATACATACGCAATCTTGTCAGGATGACCCTCACCGACAGATTCCGAGGTGAAGAGGAACGTGTCGCCCTTAGGCACTCCGTTGACCTGGCCGTTCATTTTTGCACTAGTCACGGTGACTGGAGAGAGAGAGAGGAGGTCAGGCAAAGGGAGAGAGTGTGTGAGTGAGTGAGCGTGGTGGTGGAGAAGAAAGATGAAGGACCAGTATTAAAACATATGGAGGGAAAAGGGAAAATTTTGGGAGCGGGGGAGGAACAGATGGATACGGAGACAGAGAAACGGTGAGGAGAGAAAAAAACAAAGACGATGTCGTTATCGGCATCAAACAGGACGGAATGCACCCACCTGCACCAGCACCGGCATCGGCAAAGCTGGTCCCTAAGGTAGTTAAGGGCTTGGGCTCCAGCAGCCCCGGCAGTCTTAGCTGGTCGCGCGGCACTAGGTACAGCACAAAGCCCACTAGGCACACAACCAACCCCAACACCAGGTGGCCCCATGCCGGCAGTCTGGTTCCCCTTCTCCGCCGCTGCTGCTGTTGCTGCCGCTGTTGCTGCTGCTGAGCGGGCATTCTTTCTTTCTTTCTTGGGTGTCCGGTGGCCTAGCAATGACGAGGGTGGCGGTGAGCACCACCTTCTTTCCTCGCTCTAACGTCCTTTGATCTGCTTCTCGTGGGAGAATGGCGCAATCGTCCCAGCTGTCAAGGTCTGTCGTTTTGAATGCCGCGGCGTGACGCCCCTCACTAACTGACTGTGGGTGGTGATGTTGTTCGTCCCGAGAAAAGTTTCCGACTGGTCCAAGACAAACAAGGTCCCGTACACAACGAGCAGGCGGTGGCAGAAAGATGGTCGACAATATTTGTTCAACTTTTTCCGTCGTGTATGTCAAACGAAAACGATGATATATATTTACAGAGACAGGAACTGATCACGACTGGTGACACCGAGGAAAAACAATTCCTGCAACTACAAGTGCAAACATTGTGCCTCCTTGTTACAAGAACTGCCAAAACGGCGCTAACGCCTTTGGGAAAGACCTGTGGTATGAGAGTGGCATGAGGTCTGACAGAAACCCATTCGACGACACAGACAGGCATTCACATCTACCCTCTCGACTCCACGACGTCATTGCACACCACACCGAGAGAGAGAGAAGGGCAGGAGAAAGAGGAGGAGAGAGGAGGAGGGGATCAAGAAGAAGGGATAACAGACATTGAGAGACCGCGAGGGAGAAGCAAGCATATGCATCAAGCGAAAGGCCTGGACACGAAGGATCTGGGAGAGAAACAGACAATATCATTCACCCTTGTCGCGAACCCTTCTTGTCTCTCACGCAGAAGTCGTTCTCTTCCCCTGCGCCTACTTTGAGCACGACATCAGTTCGTCCTCCACCACCGCAACTACTCTGCCTCCGACCGGCGACACCAACCATCAGGCTTAAATACGCCAAACAAAAGGGCAGAAAGCCATGTCAAAATTCGGAGTCCTCGTCACCGGGCCCGCCGGTGCCGGCAAAACAACCTTCTGTACCGCTCTCATCACCCACCTACACCACAGCCGCCGTTCCGCCTTCTACGTGAACCTGGACCCAGCCGCCACAGACCTCAGCTACACCCCGGACCTGGACATCCGGGACCTCATCTCGCTCGAGGACGTCATGGAAGAGCCTCTTTCCCTGGGCCCCAACGGCGGGTTGATCTACTGCTTTGAGTTCCTGCTCCGAAACCTCGACTGGCTGGCCGAGGCCATCGACCCGTTGACGGAAGAGTACCTGATCATATTCGACCTCCCAGGCCAGATCGAGCTGTACACCCACATCCCCTTGTTGCCCGAGCTCGTCCGGTACCTCTCGCGCATGGGCCCGTTGAACATCTCGCTGTGCGCCGCCTATCTCCTCGAGGCGACCTTTGTGGTCGACAAGGCCAAGTTCTTCGCCGGTACCCTCTCCGCCATGAGCGCCATGATCATGCTGGAATTGCCCCACGTCAACATCCTCTCCAAGATGGACCTGGTCAAAGACCAAGTCCCCAAGCGCGAACTCCGGCGCTTCATCGATCCCGACGCCACCCTCCTCGACCAAGAGGATACTGGCCGCGGCGAGATCCTGCCCAGCTCAAGCTCCCACCCCCAAACCGGTGGCGGCGGGCCAGAGTACACCGCGTTGGACGTCCGCAACGCCCACGAAGTCGACAACATCATGTCCGGGGGTTCGTTCAAACAGCTCAACCGCGCCGTCGCCCGCCTGATCGACGATTTCAGCATGGTTTCCTTTTTGCAGTTAGACGTCAACGACGAGGAAAACGTCGGCGACGTACTGAGTTACATCGACGACGCCATTCAGTTCCATGAGGCCCAGGAGCCCAGGGATCCCAGGGAGCCCGAACTGGAAGAGCCCGCTTGGGAAGACTGATTTGGGATTGCTCCTCAACCCGAACTTGAACCTGAACCTGAATTGAACGGGTCTGAGCTGTGGTGACTCGAGAGGGAGGCATTCCTCGTCCTTTTTCGGTTTCTCGCGGGGATGCATGGATAGGCCTTTCTTCCTTTTTTTTTTTTTTTAATTCTTTTTCAGCGTTGGCGTTCGGTCGGCCGGCTTCTTTGGGCTGGGGTTCAGGGCCTTTCAGGGCCGAGGTCGAGGGGCAGAGGGAGGGCTAGGGCCAGGGACAGAATAGAGAGATACCCAGAATGAATAGTACTTTTCGTTGTGATTTTCGATCCTTCGCTTGCTTGATTGCCTGAACCCACCAATGCTGTTTCAAAAGAAATGCGCTTTTGCACAAGTGCCATCCGGAGTCACAAGTAGTATGTAAGCCATCGCTCTTTCACGTCCATCCAAAGCCATTTCTTCCCTTTGGTCGTCCCCGCGCGACAGGAACCTGTTGCCTTGCACCACCAGCATACGCGCTCCACGGACTCTGACCTCGAGCTGCTCCATATCCCGCGCGTCCACCACCGCCGCCGCCGCCAGCGTACCAACCAGTCCTGTTAATATCACTCCCGTCCCCCGCCCGCGTATTGTTCATGACCTTATCCTCCACGTACCCCCAGAGAATCCTGAACGCCCACTCGGCATCACTCAAAGCCTTGTGCCAGCCGTACCGATTGACGTAGAAGACGCATTGCAGCGCCATCAGGACGAGCGCGATCTTGGCTAGGAGGACTACCCAGCCGATCACCGAGCGGCGGATGTAGTCGGCGATCTTGAGCGTCAGGTAGACCGTCAACAAAAAGGCGGCTAGGGAGACTATGTCGCCGTCTCCAACGGCCGAGAAGATCGACGTCACGAACGGTGTGATGTTGTTGGACAGGGTTTGCACCGACTCCGGCAGGCGGGGGAGGATGTACCCGCTATACAGGTCCGCTAGGCGCCATAGGAGCGAGGGCAATGGAGCAGGGGGAGGTGATGGCGGCGCCGATGGCATTCTTTTCGATTTCGGGGGATCGATGGTTAGGGTTGTTGGCTTGGCTGGACTGGTTATTGAGCGTTCGGGGTGTTGCGTCGTTCGTGGCAAGAGCGACTGCGCACACAGGGTTCGGTAGGAGAGGAAGATGACGACGTGGTGTCCTCAGTCTACCAAGGGGAGAAGCTTGGGATGGAACTTCGGATCTTTAGATTGACTGTGTTGCGGGTGGTTCAGTTGCGGTCGCGTTTGTGCTCGTATCAATCATGGCAGGTGGGTGAAGCCAGTTGTCATGTTCTCTCCACGTAAAGACACCAGAAGCGAAATTACTGCTTGTGCCGATGGTTCTAGACAGGTCTCATAAGTTTCAGCAGAAAGACACGATCATGACAAAGGTACTGAGAACATGTGGAGATGATGTTTGAGGTGAGATCAAATGAGAGGCGTGCGCATGTGAAATGAAATGACACTTGCACAAGAATCGCGGGGAAGTTGTTTGGTGCAAGTCATTGGACGAAGTAGAACAACGATATCGACATTCAAAGGCCTTGTTCTTAGATGTACAGTCCCTGTCTCATAGTGTTCCTTCAGCCTCGCATGAACACGTATACTTGTCTTCAGTCGACAAGGTCCAAGATCTCGCTATCCAAGTCCAATGCTCCTCTACGTCATCTGGAGCTGTAATTAGTATGCTTTTGTGATTCTGTACAAGGCTCCCTTTTTTCAGCAGTGGCTTCAAGTGCCACCTGATGCTGGACAACAAGCCTCCGGAAACCTGATGTCTAACAACCCAGAGCCGCACCTCCCAGACCGGCCAAATGTTCACTGTACAATCAAGGGACGTCAAAATTCGTCAAACCAAAACAACAATAATGCACAAGACCTCCAAACCCGTCGCTAAATATGCGTCTTGTCCAAATAGTATGCAACACGATGCAGAACAAAAAAGGGAAGAGTTGCCGAGGATTCCCATGGACAGCTCTTCCAAGGAGGCGTCGGGAGGCAGCCCATTAATAATCTGAGTTGTATCCCCCGTAGTTAAAGTCGTCGTTGAGAAGCGCCTGCACCTTCTCTCGTTCCGCAGCGATGGCAGCTTCAAGCCGCCGTGTTTGGCGAAGGGCTTCGTCTCTGTAGGTACAAATCAGTGATTCGTCCTGGATGTCTCGATTCAATGATACTCACCTTTCCGATTCCAGCTCAGCAACCCCCATTTGAGCCGTGTTCATCCGTCCGACTACTTCCCCCATCTCTTTCTCTGCCTCTGAGAGGGCTTTCTCCAGCTCGGCTACCTTGTTTTCCAGATACTCGGTCTTCAATGCTTGTTGCAGCGCCATGCCCGGGCCCGAAGTCGTCTGATTGAGACGGGGGCTCTTTTTAGAGTTGACAAACATTGGTGACATTGGGGACCGGGGCGTCGGGGTCAAGTATCCTGGTGTCTTACGTCCCGACTTCGTGCGCATCAGCTGGATATTGTGGCTAGCTCTCAGGACGCGGACTTCTTCTTCGTGCTTCATTACTGCGGTTTCTGACTGCATTTGAGCGACGTTGATAACGTCTTCCAGTTTGCGAAGCTTGGTCTGGAGTTCATTGATTTGTTCAGCTGATGCTTGTTGATTCTGCTCGCCTTTCTCGACGGCTGTTTTGAGCCGATCCCTCAGGGCGGCATTGGCTTGCATTTGTTTTCGAACCTGGGCGGCCAACGACTCAGACCGTTGTGCAGACATTTCCAATTCGGCGGCAAGTTCTTGTTCATGCTTCAACGAGCCAAGGGATTCCTGCTGCCGAGCTTGATCCCGCTGTTGTTCCAGTTGACGGAGGGCCTGCTCAAGTGACGATGAGAGGACTTCTGGTGCACTCTCGTCACGAGCTTGTAACAGTGTCTGTAAGCTAGCAGTTTCCTGCTTACTTCGGTCTAGGTCCATTTTCAACCCGGAAAGGCCTTTCTCGCATTGCCACTTCTGTTCGAGAGCGTCATCCGCCCGTTTCCGAAGTAGGTTGATCTCCGAGCGCAGCGTCCGGACTTCCCGTTCATAGCCTCCCTTTTTAGGCCCGTGTAAAGAAGCGGCCCGATCTCGTTCAGCTTCGGTAAGCTTGAGGCGCTTCTCGAACTGTCGTCGCTGTGCCTCTTGTCTTCTTAGCAAATACTTTACGGTAGAGTGCAAGGCATTCCTTTGTTCTGTCACATCCTTCAATTGATCGGCAAGGGACTGTTGACTCTCTGGAGCAGCACGATTAACAGAGTTCGACCTCGACAAGGAATTTGATCGATTTGGCGCAGCTCTCGAGTTCGACCTGTTCAGAATCGTGTTTGACCTTTGCAAACCAGAAGCACGACTTGGGATCATTGAAGTTCTTGGTGATTCAACAATCTCGCCTTCTTCAGCAATCGATTGAAATTGCATGTTCATCGCACGGGCACTCTGCAGGGCGGCATTTTCGTCTCGCAGACTCTGCAGCTCCTGCTGCATTCGCGTGAAGTCATAATCGGATTTCTGTGATTCCGACAAGCTCGTCTCAAGACCCTCGATTTGTGAGCGCAATTGCGGCACTACTTCGTCTCGCAAGTTGTCTCTTTCGTTCCGATGATGCTCCAAGTCGACGCGAAGTGCTGTCAACAGGTCTTCAAAGTTCTCTTTGATCTGTCTTTCCTCCATCAGCCGCCTTCTAGCATCTTCCAGGGCCACTTCCAACTCCTTGACCCTCGCAGAAATATCGGCGGACTCATTGTTGTCTCGACGTGACAAGGAGAGTTTCTGCTCAAGGATCTGGATGTGAGATTCAAGTGCCTGCCGGCTCGACCTTTCATTTTGCCATTTCCGCGACATTTCGACCTTTAACTGTGCTCGAAGCTGCTCTGATTCTCTCTTGATCCTTTGGATTTCTTCCTTGGGATTCCCTTCACTTGTCGATGGCCTGATGGAACTCGTGCCGGAATCCGAAAAATAATCACTCGTGCGATCAGTTTCCCTGGTCACAGAAGGTCCCTCCGTCTGGAGCTGTTCGACTAGGTCCTCCAGGTCCATCTCTCTCTTGATCGAATTAGCAAGTTCGGTGCTGATGTCGCGGAGTTCGGCTTCAAGCTTGGAGATTCTGTTTCCGTCGTTGTTGACCAACGTTTGGGCGTATGAGCTTCCGTCAAAGTCAATCGAGTCTTGAGAGGGTTGTGATGTTGGGGGCCTCGGAACAGGGGGGAACGGATATCCCTGCGAAGAGTGTGCTGAGGCATGGGGTGAAGGACCATAGGGCGATGGGAGGGGGGACTTCCGATCCGAAATGTCTGTGACTGAAGATTCCGTGCTGGGCGAGGCCGCAGGCTTGCGGCTGAAGAATGAAGTAAATTTGCTGCCCGGAGTCTGAGGTTTCTTCGCGTCAATTACGGTCAGTGATTTTGTGGAAGACGTCGAGTCCGTCCGCAGAGGCGGAGGCCTCGACCCAGGTTTCAGTCCCATGTCTTCCTCTACAATGACACTGTCTACCGAGTAACCATTTGATCGTTTCGACGCGTGACTGCGCTTTGGGGAACCTGTTACACTGCCGCCCACAACTCGAGGCAGAGAGGCGTCTGTGATTGTCTTGGTCGGGTTGCTGTCGTTTGTATTTCTTCGGTTAAGCGTGGGTGAGGTTGTATCGGGGGTCCTGTTGTGGTCAGATGGGAACCGGGGCACTAGCGAGGCTGGGCCAAACATACGTCTGGCCTACAACATCCGAGGGGACTCTCTTCCTCTGTATTCTGTATGAGGGCGAGTCTACCCGATTCTGAATCGTCTGTGCTTCGGGCGACTTGACAACAGGTGAGACGTTAGAAGGGAGAGGTTTTCTTCGGACAGGGGAGGCTGGGGAGGTTGGGGAGAAAGGTTTTAGGGCGGCGGAGATGGCATTGGAAAGGGAGGGTAGGCGCTGGAGAGGAGGATATTCTTTCGGAGGTGGAGGAGGAGTAGGAGGAGCAGAAGCGAAGCCCTGCGCATTATTGTCGTCCATGATCGATAGTGGTCATGGAGGCGATTGGGGGAAAGATGTTGTGGATGGTGCCAACTGCTGGTTGCGGACGGGTGGTAGACAGGTGGAAAGGGCGGACTCTTTGACGCTTTGACGCCCGTCTAGAGTAGCGACATTGTTAGGGCCGTGGTTTGGGCATGTAGATCAGCCACATGCAAATAGCAATCCGAGAAGGGTACTGGGGATGCACCAGTGGAGAGAACAAAGAGGTGAGAGGGTGGTCTAGGAGAGGATTGGAGAGGATCCGCGTGGTTGATGGTGGTTGATGGTGCTTGCAGGTGTGTCCTGAAGCAGTTTAGTCCTGCGCCGTGGGTGGCCTCCTCATTGGATCTGCCGCAGATTGCCCTTGATTGCCTCAGCTAATTCTCGACAAGCGGCTACAAGACTGCGACACCGTCTCGACCATCTCCTGGATCTGTGCTTGATGAGTGAGTGGAAAGCGAGATTGTTGACTCTCATTTTCATTCAAGTGGTTGGCTCGAGTGGCTGCCTGCTTGGGCATTGCTTGTATGGAGGGGAAAGTGCAACTCGGTAAGCACATGAAATCCCATCCAACTGAAGTCTCACACAGCATACATCATGGACGAGGTGCCGAGCACTATCTCCATTACTTCAGGATCTCGCAGCTCCTCGAATTTACGTTGAACCCAGTTACCATATTAACCCGCCTCTCATCTCATGGCCAAGAAAAAAAAAGAGACAGAGAGAAAGAGGAAGGCGATCGTTCGGCTTCAGCTCCAGCTTCAGCTCCAGCTCCAGCTCAGCTCCCTGGTACAGGGTACAGACTACTCAGTATGGGATACAGGTATGGAGTATTTACTCCCTGCTCCCTAAGTATGTGCATACGACCGCACCTCCCTCATCTTTTTCCCTCTTCAGTCATTGCTTTAGACTTCGCTTCAGGTTGATGCAGGGATAGAACATACCTATGGAGCATATATCTTTACATCGGGCCAGATGGCCGCATCTCTGTCGATCACATCTTGGAGCATGCATGACTGGGGGACACCCACTTACCTAGGTAAGTTACGGAGATGTTGAGTGCCGGCCAGTGGGAGACTTTTCTGGTGCAAGTCCGGCGCCCCTTGGCAGGGGGGATTGCCCTTTTTTTAGATCCAGGTACAGTCAAGCTAGCTCTCCAAGGTATCACAATATCTCGCTGTCCTTTTCTTTTTCCTTAAGACCCTCTTGCAGGTCAAAACGTGATTTCGGTTACGACGGTTGAAATGCCCGCTTCAGTTTGGTACAGGCACAATGACTGTTTGAGTCAAGCACATGGTAGGGGGGGTGATATTGGTGTAAGTCTCGAGCTGCATGAACACCAACTCGTCTTCAAGCCATTGAGGGGATATCATCCGTCCATCTCAAGCTCAAGGCCAAAGGAGTCGACAGTACAGAGTACAGTTAGCGGTCAATAGGAGTTCCTGAGCTCCTAGGTACTTCGAAAAGTTCTGTAGAGCATTTCATACCAATTCTCTTATACATCAACAAAAAAAAGCGACGCGTCTTAGCCGCCACAGACCACAAACTCTTGAGATAGACAATGTCTCGCTACCGTCAACCCGTCCCATGACCTCGCTCAGCGGCAGACCTGGTTGCAAGGCCCAGCCACTCACTTGTCGAACGTGTATCTCATCCAATCTCCCACAGCCTTGAGACTCTCCCACCTTACGTTCTCGTCCGGATCACCCATCAACTCCAGAAGCCGAGCCTTGAAGCCCAACTTCTCGAGCGCAGTCCGCTGCTCCGGCACCTGCTTCACCAGGTTACCCACATCGTTGCACCCGACTGCCAACACTTGTTTGTCCGATTCCCAGCTCTTGGAGAGAATCTCAGCCAATTTCTTAGGGAGTTCGCCATTTTTGTCTTCGAGGATCCTGCGTGCATTTTCTCGCCAGAATGTCGGATTGCGATGCGGTGGTGACCAGCGAAGATGGCCAGAGATTACCTCGTCGGCGTATTCGTCAAATGTCGTCTGATTCTTTGTGTATTCTTCAAGCATCGTCTTCAGGGCTTCCAAGTCCTCCAGTAAGTCAGGATCGGTCAGATGGCGACTGCTCAGATTGCTCAGCAGGGCAGGAAGTCTGGCAGTTGTAGCAGTCGCAATCAACGTCTCCTTATTGGTCGAAAGAAGGTTGTTCAGCGTTGCCAACAAGAGCCGGGTGGTCTTCTCCTTTGGTGACATCCGCAGAAGCTGTGTGTACAAGGGCACAATCTCCTCGTCCCTGGGTAAACGTTAGCCCGGCCCCTTCCTTGACCTCTCGATGGGAATTGCTCATCCTCACTTTTCAAGACCCTCGCCTACCAGCTCGCCCTCGAAGCTGAGCTGCCATATTACCAATAACACATGATACATCAATTGTAGCCCTACGCCTTCGCCAAATCTCGTGTCACTGCTTCGTATGCTGGCATTGCCATTCCACAGCGTAGAATCATTGTCTTTGGCCGCTCCAGCGGCTTTCCTCAAGATGTCAAATAGAGGATCGACCGTGTCCTGTCTCTGGTTCCAGAATAGTTCTTTTGATCGCTTCGTTCGCAGCAACTGCGACATGTGCTGTACCCCAATATCTTGTAATCCACTGTCCTGATTCTTGACCAATTTGGCCAGGTATGAGTAGACTTGCGGAAGCGCCTCGTCATCTCGCCTGGCTGGGCGCGGAGAGGTCGTTATAGAAATGGCAATAAGGTTGACTAGAAACGTAGCGGAGAGTAGGGGAATGGGGTCCTCTGGGCTGTTTCCCTGGTTGAGAAGAGACAAGTAGTTCTTGTATGGTTCAGGGTGCTGTAGGATGGCCTTTGCAAGATCGGGAGCATCTAGTTCACGTCAGTAAAGCCTGCTTCTTTTTTGGTGTAGAGGGTGTAATATCGTGCCGTTGATGAGATCGGTTGCCAACACCAGACTGTATTGGATGATGTCGCTACGCTTTGAGGCCTTTTCGAGCACACTGCCGCCATCTTTGCCGCCGACAAGCAGGGTGCTGTAGCTGTTTACATCTTTCTCGATAGTCTGTTTCCGCTGCTCTTTCCTGACCTTGTCAACCGACCTGATTCTCTTGAGCTGGTCTTCTGTTAGGTTCCCCGCACGAACAGCACCGTCCCAAGGTATCTATTGGGTCGTTAGAGGTTAGCTTCGAGAGTAGAGGGCGATGCGCCTACTGGGCGAGCTCTGATATTGCTCTGCAGGGTACTGAGATAGGCAGGCGGACTCAACGACATCTTGCCAATAAGCACAGCGTAGGTGTGCTGCCTGCGAGATAATCTGTGGAGTTCCGGGTCAAGCAACAAGGTCCATGGAATTTCGTATGTAGACTTTTTTGATTTGGAATATAGAGTCGAGACAAAATTAGTGCCAGTTAACTGCGTCAATCTCTTGTTGAAGCTCAGATTCAGGTTGCGGGAAGCTCTTTCTGTCGAAGGGCTGGCTAGCGGGACCGAGAGGTATGACATGCCGCGCCGCGGGACTGCGCCCTTGACTGCGGTTCGCCTATTTCTTTCCCCATCCGTGGCTCGCAGCCCGACAACTTTGTCCGCATCGAAGACGCGTCAATATTGTTAAGTGGTGTTACTCGACCAAATTCCCCTGTTCTGCTCTACAATGTCATCTCCTTGGTACACCTCAGTCCTGCAAGTGCTCCCAGGTCCTGCTTTATAGTCGTTCTAGCTACGACAGTTGTGCATTCGGTGTTTGGCTGTGGAACATGACCTCCAGACCAGGTTCGAGATGGAATTTCCTACAGCAGGCTGTCGCATCTGTCGAGTCGAGATTGGATGATATCCTCGCCGAAGAGAGTGATCGTCCCAAACGGACGCTTACTCCCGCTCACAACAAGAAACGTAAGGATTCCTCGCTAGGAGCCGCTTTCATGTGGCTGACGTATTGGCAGCCTCCTCCGACTTGTCTCGAAGCAGCAGCACTGCCTCTGCCTCCAATGATCGGCTTCAGGAACGCCTCGCTCGAGCGATGGCCAAGAAGAGTGTTAGTCGTACCGAAAGTCCTGTCCCTTCCCAGGAACAGTTGTCAAGACCAGCTTCGCGAGGGGAAGATGTGTCTGCTTCCCCCTCGGATATTGCGAAGGTGGGAGATTCGTCCCTTTCGGATGGCGTTCAGGCCGATATAGAGATACGGACTTCCGGTGAAGTGGTCGAGAGAACGAAGCAGGATGCGGGGGTGGACAAACCAGCATCAGGAGCCACCGTTTTGGTGGAGCCGGAATGCAGAACGGCACCCACAATTATAGAACAGCCAGATCCCAATTTAGCACGACCTTCAACAGAAATTCTGAGAGAAAGCCAGACTATGTCGAGCAGGCCGTCGGAAGATATGCGGAGAACTGGCGAAGAGGATGGATCAACCCCCGGTAATGACGAGACAACGGAATTACAGGAAGAAATGAATGCCTATCTCGAACGCATCGATGCACTCCGAAGAAACCTTGAAATACTAGGACAAGAAGTCGCCGAGTCAGCCCAAGAGGCTGCCGACTCTGCTAAGCAAGCAGCTGCCTCAGCGGAAGCAGGAAGCTTAGAGCAGAAGATCTCTCGAAAGGATGAGGAAATAGCTGTCCTGATTGAAGAAGGCACCAGATGGTCAAAGACTGAAATGGATCTTCGGGGTATGCTGAAGAAAGTTCGAGCCCAAGCATTGACCAGTGCTAAAGAACAAGAAGCTGCAAGACTACGCGCAGACCGGGCTGAACGTGCCCTCAGAATTATGGAGGATCGTGCACGAAAGGCCGAGGCGGCAAACAAGCGTGCAGAGCAAAATCTCGCTGCAAATACCATTGCGACAAAGGACATTGAGGCGATGCGAAAAGAACGAGATGCATTAAATGCCACACTAGCGGAGATCAAATTACAACTGTCCAAAGCCAATTCGCGGGCTGAAGCAGCTGAGAGCAAAGCACAGTCGGAGCAATTAGAGAAAGAAAGACGGAAAATCGTCGAGCTGCAGGATGATTTGACTGTTGCTAAAGTCGAACGGG